CTACCCCTCTCCGAAAAATCCCAGAACACCCCCCCTGGTGTCTTAAATAGCTCGGACCTCAATGGCGCCCTCAATTATGTTCCAAAAAAATGGGACCACATGCTGATTTCTCTCTTTCTCTATCCTTTCAATGTGTTGTCCTCATTTTCTTTATTTTTCTGCGACTCACTTATCATTCCACTGTTGGCTATATAGAATGTAAAATAAATACTTATATTATACAAATAAACACAAGAATGTTTCTGTGTCAAAATTTTAGATGTCATCGCTGTTAAGGAGAGTGGAAATCTCAGTGGGAGATTGAAAGTATAAGCGATGCAAAAGGTAAATGTCTAAATTTATGGTTTCGCGTGTGCACCGCCATTGGGGTGAGACGTTTGGTCAGTGGGTTGCATTGTCCCCCCCCCCCCTCCACAATCCTCTTTTCACTGTATATAAATATATATATATACTATATGTTTGTAAGACCCATGAGAACGATTTAAAGATTACTCGCCGCGTGCTGCGAAGATTATTGCTGAATCTGCTCAGTGTCAATGGCCCAAAGAGTGGGAGAGAAGGAAAGAGAGCAAGAGAGCAAGAGAGAGAGAGAGAGAACTTTAAAAAGCAGCTGAGAAAGCGATGATGTCATAATAAGAGACGAGGACATTAATTTTCATTCGAAGACAGTTGCCTTTCGACGGAGCTTTATATCTATACGCGATTGAGACATTCAAGACAGCTTGTCGAAATTCCTGAGATTTTTATCTCTTTTGTCTTTACTTCTTTTTTAATTTTATTTTTCAATGTAATTACCTTGTTTTTCAATTAACAAGAGATAACGAACAAGTTGAAATTAGGTACCGACATGGGTAATAAAATAGAAAAACATGTCTAAATTAAAATTAAGGTAGAAAAGAGAAGAATAAGAATTCATTGGAATTAGTAATTGTATTTTATGGTAGCTTTTGAAAAGGAGTAACATGACATGTATTTAATTTTGATGATAGTATCTATGCTTGAATCTAGTTTATTTATTTATCTTGACTATAAATTTCAATTTTATTTTGAAAAGTAATTACAATTTAACGATTTTCAATTTTTGTTTTATTAAAAAAAGTTCCATTTAGAAATGATAAATTACTTTTTCAGTTATGTATTTTCTTTTGTTTTTTTAACTTGAGCATTTTTAATTAAGTTTATGAACTTAGGTAGTCTTTAATTATTCTATTAGTATTCTCCACCTAATTGCAAGTGTAAACTTTAAGCTACACTTTTATCAAGTTTTTAAACTAATTAAATACCTTACAATTAAGTCCGCATGCACTTAGATATCTATATTCTTCAGTACATATGCACTTGAAGACCCCGTCTTGAGTACATGTGCACTTGGATAATCTAGACTTAAGTACATGTGCACTTAAAGACCCCCACAATAAAGTATGTGTACACTTAGAGACCCAATAAGTGCATGTGCACTTAAATACCCCTATGTTCCAGTACAAGTGCACTTAGAAACCCCTATTTGAGTACATGTGTACTTAAACAACCCTATATTTAAGTACATATGCACTTAAAGATCTCCCTAAGTGGAAGTGTACTTAGACGAAGTAGACGAAGTAAAACAGATTTTAAAATTAATAAACAGAACTTAAAATTAAAAAGCAATTTTCTACTATAGTAATTAACAAGAAACAAAAGAAAAAAAAGGACAGCAGGAGAAAAAAAAATTCGACTCTTGTTTTTTTATGGTTATGCCCAGGGCCTTTTTCAGTTTGTAATCAATATTTCAGAAAAAAAAGGTAGGTTGGTAATAGTTCTGGCGATCTGACTGACATTTTTTTTAAAAAGAAACGAATGTAGAAGGATTTCTCTCCTCACTATATATTTTTCGTCTTTCTACCTCTTTGCCTGCCCTTCATTTCTCTCTTTCTCGCTCTTTTTTCTCTTCATTCTCTCCGCTTCTCTCTCCTTTTTTCCCTCTCTTTCTTTTTCCCTTTTTTTTTCTTTTCTTTCTCTTTTCTAAAAAGCAGACTGGCTGGTGTGCTGCGCTTGAGTTTCCCAAACCAGCTCGAAGTTCACTTTATACACCAACATTCAACAAAGCCTCTGCTCTCCTGGGCTTTATTAAAAATTGAGAATGCAATTTACCGCGGCCGCGGAACCGCTCCTAAATAAAGGAAGCCGAGACGACAGCCCGAGACGTTTTACCTTATGCGTATAAGTAACCAGCCTCCTTGCAGGAGAAAACATTCACATTGCTGTCGCCAACAGCATTAACTACCTGTATACCCAGATCATCATTTCTTATACATATATACAGTGAATGGTGGAAGAAAAAAAATGGGGGGAAAAGAAGCTAAGACTGAATTCTTGTCAGGGCAAATTGTGCATTGATTACGTAATTCTATTATTATTATTATTCAATTTTATTATTCAAATTTTAGTTCTACTTTATTCAAATTTTATTTTTGACTTTACTTTACATTTAACTTTTCTTTTCTTTTTTCATTTTCACTTTCATTTTCACTTTTACATTCACTGTTACTTTAACTTTTCATTTTCATTTTCACTATCATTTTTATTTTTACATTCACTTTTCATTTCCATTTTCACTTTCATTTTTACTTTTACTTCGTCAGATTTTTATTTTTACTTTCACTTTCCCTTTGACAGTTTTTTCTTTTCATTTTTCTTTTCACTTTTTTACTTTGAAAGTAAATTTCTATCAAAGTGAAAAAGAAAATAAAAACAAAATTTTGTCATAGAGAATGTAACAAAGTAAACATGACACTGAAAATCTGTCAAAGTGAAAGTAAATATAAAAAATGAAAGTAAAAATGAAAGCAACAAAAAAAATCGTAACCAAAACGGACAATAAAAATCTCTTAAACTGAAAGTGATGAAACTCTTCCAAAGAGATGGAAAAAGTGAAAGTGAAACTGAAAGTGAAAGTCAAAAGAAAATTACCTAACAACACACCCCCTGCCAAAATCAACAGTTGAGAACTAAAAGTTACAAAATCAACCAAAGACAGTGCACAATTAGATGATAATAGAAACAATAGAAAGCTACAATCCAACACTCAGAATAGTTGATTCAATAAAAATCAATGAACCCAACTTGTAATTAGATTTCCCTCTATACAGACAAACATAAAAACTCCATGTAACTCCATGAAGCTTATTCCGGAAACGAAAAGCGGAGCCAGGAAAGTCTTGTTTACGGGTCGCGCATCATTGCTCGATCGTATATCTGCAGATAAATCCCCTATAAAACTGCCATTACATCAATGTTTATCTAGAAAGTTCTCATTCGTAGCCAGAATGGAGAATTCGGAATTTTAAAATATACACAGAAATGCATCGCACAACACAAAATCTTATACATTGTTTCTCCGTTTCTATACCGCACGCAATAAATTTTATACTCGCTTCTTTAGTTTCTTTATTTCTTTTAAGTCTCTTCTCCTACTTTCTTTCATTTTAACTTCTTCGATTTATCTATTTCTACCACATAACATTCATTTTTCTATAATTTCATCTTGTTGTTAACATTCATTTTATGAACGAAATTTTTAACGAAAAAAAAATTTATTTCATTCAAATATACTATGTAAAATTTAAATTAGAAAAAAAAAATTTTTTTTACTAAATATTAACCTATTTAATACACAAGTAATCTTTTAATTGAATCAAATAAAAATTTCTCCACTATTATAATAACAATTTTAATAACATCCACTTTTCTGTAATTTTATTTTGTTTTGTTAATAAAAAAATAAAAATTTATTTAAACCGCACAACATGTGAAGAGTTTAGTTGGGTGAATAAAAATCGGGTATTGCTATTGCGAAAACTCATTGCATAAACATTTATACCCTACTCTGGGAAAGAAAAGAGAATTCAGTTGAGAGGGGGAAGAAGGTAGGATAATCCGATAGGAGGATTAAAATTTCGGTATGGAATTTTATTCAAAAGCGTTTTTTCATTCACTCCTGATTTCATTTTTGTTTTCCAACGAATGGCGCTGAATTTATTTTTCAATGTATACTATATTTCAATTTCCTCTTTTTTTTTCTTTAAATATTGTACTACGTTCAAGTACACCAAATTTTTGGGGTTAGTAAAAACAAAATGTCTACCATTTTTCTATATGTATAGCACAGAATTTTTCAAATGGATCACATAAAATTAAAAAGAAATAATTCTTAATTTATCATTACTATTATCTTAATAGAGATAGAAAATTATAAATGAATAATGAAACAATTAATGAAGTAAAAGAATTAATTAATATCGTAAATTGAAATAATTTAATTAACTAATTTTTCTTCTACTTGCAATAAAGACTCATGGTGGCAATTCTATAATGAAGGTTCAAACATTTTCCAACGACATTATTTTCTAATTTTGACCCTTTTCTTGCTGAAAAGTTAGCAGACTCTCTTTCTCTCTGTATATACATATATATATAGAAGAGGGTTTTTAGCTTGATTTCAACGCGAGAAGGAGCGTGGTTAATGGCGCTCGTTTCATTAAATTAATTAGCCAATCCGTGTGCCTGCTGTGCAGTGAAAATATATATACTATTGCGCAAATGGGACAAATTCTTGATATTATTTTTTGTAAACAAGTCGCGAAGAATTTTGATGTAATGGAAATTAGAGGCAGAACTTTGTGCGGCACACTCGTTAAGGGAATTTAATACTTCGAGAAAAAAAAATGAGAAAAGAAAAAAAAATCTGCCTCCACTTAGAGGCAGGTGGCCCCCCGGCTCAAATCAGTCGTGTTACGTTAACTGAATTCAAATTGATTCTTATAGTGCTGCGAGGCATTAGCATAATTTATGTGCCCTACCTAGGCCAGCCATTGGAGGCTGGCAATAAACCTTTTTGTTATATTTGTATAATATATATTAATTTATATAATGTATATTATTTTATATAATATATAGTAAATAGTAAATGCCCAATTCATCAAATATATATACAATATTATATTTTATTAAGAAAAAAAATTTACCAATTTTCTTAGCGAGACCTTTGCAGTTTCCATGACTTACGGGACAGCTTCAATAAATAAATGCCGTACTGAAACAAAAAAAAATAGAAAATTAAATTTACTGTTAAAAAAATATACAAGATAAATAAATATACAAATAAAATAATGAATAAGTATCTAAATGAATAAAAAAGTAAATAGTTGAGTAGTTAGATAAATAAATATATAAACAAGGAAATAGTTAATTGAATAATAGTAAAGTGGATAAATAAATAAATGTTAACTAAAAACAGAAAAATACACATTTTTATTCATAATATTTTATTTGTTTTATTTTTTCAGCTTTTGTTATCAGTCCACGCAGTTTTTTGGTTTTCATTTGATTACGACATGAGTTTAAATTGAAAATTACGAAAAATTTGAAAGTGTGAGTGTTTGTGTGGATTGCGCTTTTATTTATAGCTGATAACTGTTTTATTCGTATGACTGAATCAGCGTTAGCACATTTGAGCTTTTCCTGTAAGCTTCGGCTTACAATACCGCAACAATGTTCAGTCATTGGCAAAACAGTGATTTATTGTTTAAACATGCTGCTCTTCCCTTACATTCATTAGTGGCAACAAAGCAATTATCAAACAGTTTTTACCAAAAAGAATTCTTACAAAAATATATTTTTGTTCTCTGAAAAAAAATTTTCTAAAATGTATAATGATTTCATTCATTAAATTCTATTTGTTAAAATAGATTCTGATAAAATTTATCCACAGATTGTGTCAGGTTTATTTAGTAAATAAAAACTTTAATTGAAATACTAATTAAAGTAATTAAAATAATTTTTAGTAAATGAACGATGATAACAATACTCGTGGTAAGAGCGTCTGCGTCTGAAGAATTTTTACTGTGCGCTAGGCTTTTATATGCAAAGAACAGGGCAATGGTGGGGGGAGGCGCATGCGCTACAAACGCAACGTCAATGTTTTTCCGCCAGGGCAGTATGAATGTATCACGGAACCCAGTCTTTTAGAAAATTTTATATTTATCAATTTTTCAAAAAAAAAACATTTATTTTTATAACTAATAGTACAATAATAATAATAAAGATAAAAATAATATTAATTTTTTAGATTTAATGCAAATGTTTATCCAATTTTAACAGAGCAATGTCCAATAATCTAGAATGAATTATTTTATAATCATTTCTTTCCTCTCTGTAATTTGGCTTATTTTTATAAATTCTCATTCCATTTATCCAAGACTCATATAACATAATTAATAATTTTTCCATATATCCTTTTTTTTCTAGATTGAGATAATATTTTTCTATTTGATACAGTTCGTCAATAAAAATTGGTGTATTCAAAAATTTCACAAAATACTCATTATTATTGAGTTTTCTGTAAATACCCACAGACTTATGTGGACTATCTTCAAAGAACCTGTTTAGAACAAATTTTCTATAAATTTTCAAAGTTTCACTATAATCGTGAATTTTTGTTTTTGTTGAACAATACGGTTTAAAGTCTCTATACGCGTGTGTTTTCTCATTATTCACAACTAAATTCGATTTACTGCAAATAATATTTTTGTTTAAATGAAAAATTTTAAACACGTCCTCGTTATTCTTTACAGTAAAATACAAATTATTTCCCTTAAAAATCGTATCAACTATTCCAAAGAATGATCCATTGGGATTATCGAAAAATTCTAATTTATCGTAGGTTTCATTTGTCCTTTCATAATCAAAAATTGAAAAATATTCTGGTACCTAAAAAAAAATTTCAATCGTCAATAAGCGTAGTACTTTTTTACAGTTAATTATAATAATTCATACGTTTGCAAATTTATATAAATATAATTTATACAACTATGATTATTTATACAAATATAATAATTTGTAACTTTAATAATTTATAGAAAAATTACAATTTATATATTTAATTTTAATTACAGCAGGCTTCACAGTGCCTCTAAAAAGTATTTTAGGGAAAAAAGGGGACTTAAAATTTAAAAAATAGGGGACTTTTAAGGGACCATAAAAATTAGTTAAATAAAGTACTACTCATAAGACTATTATTATAAAACATAAAGATGACCGACTGACAAAATCATTAGTTTATTATTATAAGAATATTGTTACTGTAATTTTTTCAAAATTACTTGTATCATTTCAATTCAATTAACATTTTCTAGAATTTTTAACTAAAATTCTACTTTAAATCAATAACATCAATTTTTATTCAATTCAACTTTTTCTAAAAAATTAATTCCACAGAATTGTTAGTTAAAAGTACGAAAAACAAGAATTTAATTCTACGAGAAATCAATTATTTAAATACAAAAATAAATAATATTAAATGTTTCTTAAAATTTAATTTTTACGAAGAATTGTATTAACAACTTTTGAAAATATTTAATTTCTTTTAAGGAATTTAATTAAAATTTTAATTAAGTTTATTATATTAAAGAATTTTATAACAATTTTTGAAAATAATGGAAAACTTTTTGAAGAATTTTCTTAAATTTTTTAAAAATAATTGAATTCCTGAGCAGAATTTAAATAATAATTATTGAAAACAATTGAATTCATAAGAAGAGTTTTATTAAAATTTTTGAAAATAATTGACTTCTTGAGAAGAATTTAAAAAAATATTTTGACAATAATTCAATTCATGAAAAGAATTTTCCTATCTATTTATAAAAATAATTTAATTCTTGACGAAAATTTTTAAACAATTTTGAAAATAATTTAATTTCTGCAAAGTATTTTATTATTTTTCAAAAGAATTGAATTCTTCTCATAAATATTAATATTTATCAAAATAATTGAATTTTGGAAAAGAATTTTATTAAAATTCCTTAGAATAATTGATTTTATGGGAAGAATTTATGCGATTTTTTTGTTTATCAAGCTAATTGAATTCTTTTGCAAAATTACTTAAAAATTTTTGAAAATAATTGATTTTCTGCGACGAAATAAATGTTATTTATGAAAATATTTGAATTATTGCAACGAATTTTACTGTTTTATTGAATAAATTGAATGTTTCTTAAAATTGAATTCTTTCCACAAGATTTAATAAAATTTTAAATAATAATTGCATTTTTCAAGGAATTTATTTAAAATTGTATTAAAAATATTTGAAATTCTGCGATAAAAATAATTGAACTCGTAAATGAAATTTTATTATTTATGAAAATAATTGAATCTTTTTATAGAGTTGTATCAAGAAGTATTTTCTATAATTAAATATGTTGATAAATTTTATGAAAATAGTAAATATTTAAAAACATTGAATTGCGAAAAACTTTTGAAAATAATTGAAATTTTGCAAAGTATTTTATTTAAATTTTTGAAAATAATTGAATTTTTGGCGAAAAATTTTGCTATTTATAAAAATAATTGAATTCTTGACGAGATATTCATTAAAATTTATAAAAATAATTGAACTTGTGCAAAGTATTTTATTAAATTTTGTTTAAATAATTGAATATTCTAGAGAAGAATTTTAATATTTATCAAAATAATTGAATTTTAGGAAAGAATTTTATAAAAAATCCTTAAAATAATTGATGTTATGGGGAGAATTTTGTTGGTTATCAAGCTAATTGAATTCTTTTGCAAAATTACTTAAAAATTATTGAAAATAATTGATTTCCTGCTACGAAAAAAATAGGGGAAATTTTCAAAATAGGGTACGTTTAGAGGTCAAAATTAAAAAAAGGGGACTTTTAGGGAAATAGGGGACAGACTGTGAAGCCTGTTACAGTTAAATTTACAATTACAAAAAAAATGTATTCACTTGTTTTATAAGATCGTTCAAATGAAAATTTTTCTAAACTCACCGAATGGTAATCGCCCAACATTTTAATTGTATTCCATTTGTCTAAGACATCAATACGAAGAATTTCCCAAACTGGCGCAATTAGAACGAGCGAAATATTTGACAATAATTTTGATACATCCGTATTAATGATAATTTTCTCAAGAGCTAATAATTCTAAAACTGTCACATTTCCAGGACAATCCTTTCTATTTAAAATTTGTTGCAAGTTTAGAATATTTCCCTTAGCTTGCAACTTATAGGTTCCATTAATACTCAGTGGAGAGCATAAAACATCTATTTTCCAATTCATTGAATTATGCACAGTAATAAAAGCATTCATCAATAAAAATCTGTCACTTCCATTAAAACTTGAAACATCTTTATATATTTTGGACATTTCATTAGAAATATCATTATTATTCACACTCGATTCGTACATATTTATTAATCTCTTAAGCCATGATTTCTTCACTTGCAAATTATGATTAACAAATCTATTTAAGATATTTTGCCATATAATTGAATTGTAATTAATGTCGGACATAAAGTACATGAAACAGATTAATTTGTTAAATGACAGTTTTATTTCTTTTTTACAATTATATGATACGAATTCATCAGATTTAATTTGAAAATCGAAATTCCTTTCGAAATAATATACACTACTTAATGATGACATATTAAATAATGAATGATCAATTAGTAAATTATTTCTCATAGAGAAAAGTCCCTTTTTTAACGATCTTGAATTTTCATCAGAAAGCTTAAAGGGATTAGAAAATCTTATCAAATCACTATTTCTCTTAACAAATTGTAAAATACTTTCTCCTTGCAGATTGTAGGAAAAATTTGTTATTTGAATGGGAAGGCCTCGATATTTTCTGTTGAGATATTCAGATATTGCAATGCAATGATGATGACTTTGTACATCCTCATTCGAAAAATTAATACCACACCAAAACTCATAAAGTGCTGTAGTTGATTTTGAAAAATTTTCAACTTCTACTTGATTTTTTATAAATTTGTGGAAAAATTTTTCTTCTATTTCATTTATTGCACTTTCATTTAATACATTTATTGGAATAAAAATAATTGATCCATGAAATAAATAAGATGGTCGTTTTTCAATGTGAACTTTATCTGAAATATTGAAGTGTACAATTTCTGATGCTCTTCTAAGCATAAGTTTAAAGTTCTCATCGCTATATTCTTGACATGTTAGGGCAATTACATATGTTTCGATTGTTTCCAAAGTTACCTTTGTC